AAGAGTTTTCTACAGTTGCAAAAAAAAAAATAAATAAATAAATAAAAATAAAAAATAAAAACAGCTCATGACAAATAAAACTTGCGGAAAGTTGTGATTAGGCTCCTCTTTTATTTAAAAACAAAAAAAAAAGTTGTGATTAGGCTCAAAAAGCTAACTAAAGATTACATACTTTCTCATCTATCAGCCTATTTATTTCTCGCACAGCTTGCGGCTGACAAGACTTTCATTATCATTATGCATGGAGCGTTCAAACTTAAAATTTGTAGTCAATCAGTTAGATGTTTATAGCCTTACATATTTTTAGCTTTAAATGTTTGAAATTTAAATAGACTACAAAACCATGTTCAACGCTTGTCATTATTGTAGTATAGAAAAATAAATTCTAGTATATAATGGAAGGGTAGAGTTTTTTTTTTCACAAACAACACCCTAGAAGGATGGGGGTTAAGGCCGAACCCGCAACCTATATATAAAAAAAGGCCATAATTGGGTTGAAAAGTCACAAGGCTACAAGTCCAGTTTCTGATATACATCAAGTCAAACAAAAAACCAAAAGCAAGAAAAAATACAAGGAAAGCTGACAACAGCAACGAGAAACACAAAAATAACAAATTCTGGTCTGGGGAAAGTCCATGAGAAAATGTCAGCATCACAGTAGGGCAGATGCGCCAAAATGTAGGAGCAGCTACACAAATCTGAATGAAAGGTATCCCATCTGGCCCATCCGTATGAGGGTGCGGAGGCGGAGATGAATATCGTTAGGGTAAAGAATGCGCCTCTAGGGGGTGGAGGATCTGATGCCAGTGGGGAAGTTAGCAGATCGGTTCCCCTCGCGGAAGATGTGCGAGATCCGAAAGTGAATCAACTGAAGTGTGGCTCTAATACGTATGAGAGGATGCTGAATCTTCCACGTACCCTGATGACAAGAGAGTGATGACAGCAGCGGCGACCAACTCTATCCAAATGTGAGAGGAGTTCGAGGCGGCAATCTGAAGACCGATCTGAAGCGCCTGAACCTCCACATCATAGCTCGAGGAGAGCCGAAGAGGGACATGGAAAGCAGTAATAAGGGCACCGTATGATCCCTAATCAATCCCCCACCTCTTGCAACTCTAGTAAGTCGGTCAAAGGCTTCGTCAGTGTTTAGCTTAACCCAAGGCGACTCGGGTATTAGCCTAACAACAGCCCTGGGTCGTGGATGCTGGACAGGCGGCAACGGAGGCGGTGCAAGGCAGTGAGGTGGCGTGCATCCTGCCCAGTCTCGATGGTGAGTCTGCCCAAAGCGGTGAGGAGAGAGAGATGTCGGTCAACCTACAAAACAATATGGGAACACAAAAAGAAAATATCCCTATGCTTCGCATTATTCCTTTCTGTCCAGGTGGCCTGAAGAATCAGACAAGGAATAAGAAAGCCCACGTGTCTATCGTGTGTGCTGTGTCTGAAAAAACTCAGAAGCTCAAACATATTATCTGTGGTGGGCAGGGGTATATGAGTGTATCTGGTATAATGCTCTCACACTCTACTTCACAGTCTCACTCTCGAGAAACAAATAGGTAAAGGTCTCGATCTAAAAATCACCGGTCTCGGCACAATAGTGGAAACGAGAGGGGAATGAGAATCCCCTCACATGCATCACAGTATCAATCGGCAGCAGACGCAAAAAAAGGCGCCACAGGAATACAGAGATGGTCGGGGTAAGTATGTCAGTCCAGATGGCCCAAAGAAAAGGTTAGGTCGGTCGCCCAGTCGTACTTCCCCTAAAACCAAAGTTGTATAGAATGCACCTGAAGATGTAAATATCTACCCCATACCTTCCGAACCTCCCTCTGAGATGGGTGTCTGTTGGATCTGATCTATCTCCTGGTCACTAAAACCCACCCCCAATAACCATAATCCTCTCTAACTTATCTCTCTTAAACCCCCTCTATCCACAGGTCCTTCACCTGCAGAACGGGAAGGTGTGTGACCTGCCTAATGCTTTAAAGGAGGGCCTCACCAAACCACCACTCATCCCAGAAGCTAATATCCCCCTCCCACAGACTCCAGAAATTGTGCTTCTAAGCACGTCTACCGACCATGGTGAGTCTCCTCCACTGTCTACTATCTCGGGTGGTGGCCGACACCCTACAGGGGTGGACAACGCCTGCAGGACAAAACTTCCGACGAAGGTACTGGGCCTAAGTGACTTACCCTCTCTAAAGCGCCACCACATCTTATACGAGAATGCAGTGACGACGTCCGAGAAGCGCCGAAGTCCCATTTCACCCAGTGGACCCGTCTCCCTCTCTGGGAGCCCTCCCCATGTCCCCAAAACTAATGAGCCAAGATCTGATCTAGCTCGTGAATCGTAGACTGGTGGGATCGAGAACCGTGAGGAGGTGAAGCAGAAGAGCTCTGAGGGTGCTCTTAATCAGAGCAAGACGACCCCCCAAAAGAGAGGTGTCTTGTGGGACCATTCGGAGATGCGGTCAATCATCCTCTGCGTAACGTCAATAAAGAGCTCATGCGAGAGGTGGCCCTTGTACAAAGAGGCGCCAAGATAGGTGATGGAAAGGTTGCCACGCGCAAAACCAGTGCGCTCGTGGACCCACTGGGCCCACTGGTCCGCAATGTGACGATGAAGGGTGAAGGCACTCTTTTGCATACTGACAAGCTGACAGGAAGTCGAGCTACAATGTCCTAGGAGGCGCATGAGCTCGGCCATCCCATTATTATCCGCACGAGTAAAGATAATAAAGTCATCCGCATAAGCAAGGTGCGAAATGGGGGGACCATAGCCACGCGTGCTATAGGTCATCCTCGGGAAATCACGAATGAAGCCGTCAAGGCACAACGAGGCAGGTAGTCCGCCGCTAAGACAAAAATGAGGGGGATAAGGGGTCCCCCTACCGAAGGCCACGAGTGGAAGGGAAGAAGTCAGGGGGCTATCGTTGACTATAACCGAGAATGTGCAGTGATCCACGCACGCCTCCACAAAACTAATCCAACGCTCATGAAAGCCCATCCGAAACAGAATCTCCCTGAGAAATGGCCACTCGACCCTATCATATGTCTTGGCCATATCTAGCTTTAGCACAAGGTTCGGGGCTCATCACTGGTTCGCATGAGAGATATCGTGGATCACGCATAAATGAAGTTTCGTCTCGAACAGATAGCTATATTTTACTCAAAATAAAATAATCTATTTTTGCTCTTGCCGTTTTAAATTATTTTAATGTTAAAAATTATTTAAACATGTTTAATTATTTTTAATGTTAAAAATTAATCTTCATTAGATATATTATTTAAACATGTTTAATTATCTATTTCAGATTATATTAATAACAAAACTATGTAGAATATTTTTGTTTTTTTTTTCTAAATTTATTTAGTATAAATAGTGAATTAATTAAATTCTTATAATAGGATGAAATTACAAATACATAATTATAATTAATTAATTGAAATATTAATTTCATTAGTGCACATTATAGAAGAAAAACAATTCAAGACAAATAGAATAAAACTATTTACATTTTAAATAATTTTAAATTTTGATTTTGTAGTTTGTACTTAAATTTTATTTCATATTAATATATTTCATGTAATGTACAGTGTAGCGCGAACAACTGGAGACGAAATTCATATTTCATTCTCAATATAGAGTAGAGTAAATTTTGCACTAAAATAGGTTAGAAGATCGAAGATAGTCAAAGAAAACAAATAAACATTGAGCAAATATGAACAGTTAATCACTACATCTAGCAAACTCCAAAGTTAGATTGTTGCAAACCATAAAATAGCGCACAGATCTGGTACGTCGATCACGCTATTGTAGCATAATTCCACATTCTAGCGCAGGTTGGCGGCACAGGAATTTATGAAGGTGCATAGATATAAATTTGGTTGAGTTTCGATTAAATTTTTTGTTTAATCAAAGTTAATTTTGAAAAATTGATTGAGTTAAATTTGGGTGAAATTTAAATTTTATATTAAAAAAATATTTAAAATAAATTAATTAAAATTGACTTGACGTAAAAATATAAAAAGAGGTGATTGGAAGTGACGAGTACTTAAAATTATATTAGTTGGTAAATAGTAAATTAAAATTGATGTGTTGCGTGAAGATAATTAATTGATATTAATTAATTATTTTGATAATATTGAGAAGAGTAAGCATGAATTAAAATTGAGTTAGGTTTTAAATTAGAAAAGTTATTAGCTAAAAACCGTGTTTTAAAAGTCAGCCTAGGCGATGCTAGTCGCCTTCGATTTGCATAAATCAGCTGAAAAAATCGCTCATACGGCTAGGCGACAACTAGACGCTCCTAGGCAAGCTTGGCAGGATCGGCAGAAATTTTTCAATTTTTTTATTTGTTTAAATAGTAATTACATTATTTTGTTATCATGTTTTCTTCATAATATATTAATATTGTTATTTAGACTTAGGAGTGTTGATTTATTATAAGTTGAGATAGTTTTATTTTGTAGGTAGTAAAAATAAATAAAAAATAATATATTTAATCCTGATTTCTAAGCCCGACTAGGTGCTGGTTGAGCGCCTAGCGGGCGCCTCACGACTTCTAAGCTAAAAATGATTGGATATTCGAATACAAATTTGTGTCCAAGCAACCCCTATGTTCACCATTTAATCATACTCCTAGGTAATTTCGGGCCAAAGACCATATTCATTATTTCCCCAAACAAAAACGATAACCACAGAAGAATAAACAATGATTAATGAACGGACATAAAAGAAAAGAAACCTTAAAAGTTACCATTTTGAGCTTTTTCAGAAGCTCTTGTCTGCTGTTTACAATCAAGAAATACAAAACTACTAAGTAATAAGCACATCGGCTAAGCCAGGGTTATAAAAGGCAGCATAAAAATGAGATCCAGATAGTATATAAGATGTGAAGGAACCTTTCGGGTCCAAAGAAATCAACCACCAAACACCAGTAACGGAAGAACATGGGAATAGAAATGGACTTCATTGCTAACCAGACGTGTGAACTTATCTAGCTTGACATCATGACTTGATCGATCGACTGAAGTGCCTGATTGGCGAAAAAACGGACATCCACATCAGGATCCTCTGCAAGCTCTACCAAACTGGGGCGAATGCTGTTCTCAACAACCTAGGAACAAAAAAAAAGTTTCACAGTAAGAAAATTGGCTACACCAGGGAATTTTGGGAATAAGTGAATAATGGAAACAACACTCCTGAACTGAATTCACAACACCTCAAAACTCATTGAACCGGAATTATAAATATAAAAATTTATGGGATCGGAATTAGAAGATAAGAACATTTAGAACTAAAACACAAAAGCTTGCAGTAAGAATATTGCAACACGCCTCAATCGCTGAGGGAGCAATCACACATTTTTCCATTATAAAGAACCTCTGAGGTTCAGCTTAATCAAAACGTCCATTTCTTAATGCAAATAATGGCGAAAAGTCTGAACATTAATGAATACTTCACCCAGAATATGTCAATTACAGAATGGAGACAAATATGGGTATTTCTAATTTTAAAAGGACAATGTAATTCTATGGTAATCAACCACAGAGGTACATTTGTAATACATACAAAAGAATGAGGTGATGGAGAAAGTTGACTTACCGAATGATCAACGATGGGGATCATGGATTGCAATATCTTAGCCACGTTAAATTTGATGTTCGGCACCCTGAAAAAACATTATCTCATTTCAGCTTACAAGAGTAGTTTTAGTGTGATAATGGGATTAAAATACTTGGAAGAAGATGAAATAGCAACTACCTATCCTTTGCCGCTGTTATGATAACAGGCAATAATTTAGAGCAGGTTATATCAGAACCCATCACAGGAGCCAGTAGTGATATCGCTTGAAGAACAGTCATCCGGTACAAATAATGCGGACTGTTCACCATGTCCAGAACCTGCATATGTGTGAATAATGCCAAACCCTCATGAAAATTCAACAATGTTGAAACTGGGAAGTAAAATGTAATTAGCGTAACCGAGCTCAGCAATAAATAAACTATTAAAATATATGGAAAATTCGATAGGTCATAAGCCTCATTTGACCTTCACGAACCTGGGGAATTATATGCTGCATTGCCCATTCCGGACCAAATTCTTCTGCCAAACGCTTCAAATTATTAGCTGCAGCTTCCCGGATAGAGTAAACCTGCATCCAATCCAAAAATTCAAAAAAAAAAAAAATCATTCTTTTTCAACAATATGGGTAAAGATTAAAGAATAATCTTCCAATATCGCAAAATTACAAAAAGGGAAAATAAGAACAAATAAGGAAATAAATAAAATAATTACGCTTTAAAAATTACAGAAAACTCTTAAATTTATTCCATTTTCAAAAATTGGAAATACTGAAGACAGAACATTAATGATCATGAGATTGTCTTACAATTATGCCAAAAATAGGGAAATTTGACCAATTACCCCACCATAAAATTACAAGAGAAACACCGACCTTGTCTTGTAGCCACTGCATGCAAAGTGCACCCAGCTTATCATCGAAAAATCCCATGCCCAACTGACTAGCCAATAATGGTATATACTCTATGATGGCAAGCCGAACCCTCCAGTGTCTATCCTCTGCAAGCTCAACAATGGCTGGTAATAAAGATTGGGAGAGTAAATCAATACCAATAACCTGCATAAAAGGAGGCAGAATATTAATTTAGGAATAAACCAAACAATGGCACATCGGATGGGAAATCATATACCTGGTTGACTTGATCTAGCTTGCTAATAATATTGAGGCGGACATCAGGAAATTCGTCTTTCAAGAGAGAGAGGAATATAGGAAGAAGTTGTTCGATTGTAGCATCCTGCATCCAAACCAGAAAATCTAATGGTAAAGGTTCATTCCCAATCATGTGCGCAAGTAAATTAAAGATTTCTATTCATTCGAGCCGAGAAGAAAAACATGTCACAAGAAGACAAGATAATAATAGGGGGACTATTCAATGTCAAAACCACGGTAACATGTTAATACGTTTTGTGTGTGAGTGTGTGTAACTTGAATGATTCCTAATCGGGTTAACTACAATAACAAAACCCCGAGGATTACACTAACCAAGAAAAAGGAAACAGTTGTATTTCAAAATGACGAACGCTCCCTGGCAGTTTGTTTTGTCCTTTATGATTGCAACTTGAAGAGGAAGTAATTTGTTAAAAAAAAACTCAAAGGGTGAATGTAAAGTTGTAAACACTTTAAAGGGGTTATTCAGATTTATAATTTCGAAAGATAATAGGAAATTCTTGTGATTAGAGACCTGACTTCGAGTTGTTTTTGTTGATATCCAATTTAAACAGAGGCGAAACATATATTCTGCCATCCCAGCCATTCATCAAGAAAGCGACTCTCACACTCATATGATATAGACTTTTTGGTACCTTTCCTAAGACAGGAGCCATTCCCATAATTACAGATGCCAATGCAGATCTCACATGTTGTGAAGAATCAGATGACAGCTCCTGTAACCACAAATTTACCTTCTCACATGTAAGAAAATCATAAAAAAAAAAAAAAAAAAAAAAAAAAAAAAAAAAAAAAAAAAAAAAGAACAGGAAAACTAGTACAGATCCAGCCAGATATTTTACCTTTACGCAAGGAAGAATATGCTGAATAGCAAGTTCAGGATTAAGAATACGACAAAATTTTGTAACTTTTCCAGCAGCTGCTATTCTCACTTCTGCTTCGTTATCTCGGAGTAGGCGTACATATGCAGGAACCAAATCGGTCCTTGAAACACAAAACTCATATCAAATGCCAAATATCGTGTAAAGAAACAATTAATTTCATGGACAAAAGAAATAGAAACTAATCAAAACACACAACCACCTCGTAGGTTCAGGTCCGACAGCCTCACAAAGCTCATACAGCTGATTTGCAACCATGTAGCGTACACGCCAAGACTTATCCTGATGTGTATAATAACATCACAAAGGGAGGGGAAATATCAAAAGCAAATTAAGAATCAGTAATGACCACTTATCAGAAGAAATAAGCAAATTAAGAATCAGTAATGACCACTTATCAGAAGAAATAAGTCTTTCATATTTCTACTTTCTGTACATGTCAACCAACTTTCATGCCGAGAGAGAGTGAGACAGAGATTAACTACTTGGGATACTCAGTTAGATATGAGACAAATAAGCACATTGGTACAAGGAAAGATGATGATCACACACTTTTGAATACACAGCTAAACTAAATAGTAATAATAAAGAAAGAAATGCAACAAGAATGACTGATTAGATATAATAACTAGAAATAGATTCTGATAGAGGAACATTGATAAATAAGAAAACTGGCCACAAATAAACAATGATGTCATAGCAGACATAGTAATAATAACTAAGACAAGTCATGTAGTTAGATAACTGAAATGTACCTGCGAGAAGTTGACAATTACAGGGAGGATATGGGCAACACAATCTTGGGGCTCCAACAACTTTCCAAGAGCAGCACAGCCCTCAACAGCTAGCAACCGCACAGAATCTTGATCTGAAAAGACGCATTTAGAAAATTATCTTTAGACAGCTGCTTCAGTAGTTGAATAACTAAAAAGCATCAGCGACTGCAGATAATTTTGTTCATTGATTACTTCCAATTTTTAAGATATTTATTTCCTTATTGAATTGCTTCACTAATTTTATCTAACAAAAATAACAAATAGATCACTTTTTTGTTTCCAATTGCTATGCAAGTTTGTTTTTATATTTCTTTAGCAGAATAATGAAGAAGAACAAACACAAAATTCATACACAGAAAAATATATAGATTGTCCTACAAACTCAAAGGATAAATCAAATGCGAAGCAGCAAGGCTGTGATTTGTGAGACATTTTCACTAGAAGGAACAGGACAAATTCTTGGTTAGTGTTACAGTTCAAAGACAATAAAATTAACAAAAAGAAAATGTCAAAGACGAATTTGGTCCCAAAAGAACAAGGCTAAAGGACGAATGTGACAGTTTACAGTTCTTTTGTAAAATTGACTGGCCAACAAACTAACTTTTTATCCTAATACCTCAAAATACATACACATATTCTGTGAAGATAATGACAGCATAGTGTAACTAGATCTTGAAATTCAACTTGAGACATCTTCTAGACTAAAATAAATAGATTAACTGAGTCATGACAACTACTACTGGTATCTAGTTAAAGCCAATAAAAAAGGAAAAAGGGAAAAAAGAAAGAAAATGGGACTCGAACTTTGGCATACCATCCTGGGTAAGTTCCTCAAACATAGACATAATATCGGTCTTGAGATATGCAGCTTCCACAGTAGCAGCAAATTTTCCCAAATTAGTTGCAGAAGCCCTTCTCACCATTGGCATATCATCTTGACACAGCTGATTGTATATCGCCCTTAACTCTGTCTTCAATGCATCTGGAGCACTAGGGTAGGCAATATGAAATAACCCACAAGCTGACACACGGGCTGTAAACCACTCTCCAGCTGCCAGCCTCTGTATATTAAGTTGAATTAACTCAATCAGAATTTATATCTAAAATTCTACTATGAGAATTAGAAATTCCAAATTGTGTGAGAGCAAATGAGTGATTGTGTACATACTTACGGAGGGGAACAATGCAAAAATCTTCCTTTTTTTCCGAGAGGAATCAATTAGAACTTACATTCTAAAAGCAATCACATTAAATAGTATTAACCAAATGCTAGATTTGAAGAAGGTAAAATGAATTGGTCTATGCATTTTACTTGAGGGTATAGCTCAAGCCTCACGGAATAGGTGAGACTTAATTGACTCAACTTAGTGTAATAGCAAAACGTGGACATAATCCGTGGGGGCCTCAGAAACCAGTAACCTATAAGAAAAAATAAAAAGCGAGTTTTTAAGAGACCTTCACAAGAGGAACGAACCAGTCAACCAAATCACCCTCCCTCATCTGTGAACCAATTCTACACAAAGACTCTACAGCCTTTTCCCTCACACAAGTCTCCTCCACAGTACAGAGTGTCTCCAGAGGAGGAAGTAAAACATGTGCATACTCGACTCCTCCAACATACGGAATAAAAACGCCCAATTCCTCAGCCATAGCAAGCAAAACTTCATCATCATCATCATTGTTCTCACTTAAAAACGGAATTAACTCCTTCCGGGTCCTATCCTCACCAAGTGCACGTGCAATGGTAGATAGTCTACGTATGGAGTTCAAACGGAGCTGAATGTCATCGTTCTTCAACTCGTCAATTAGTACAGCTATCGGATACAGTGGCTCGTCCACCATCGACATTTTTCCACAAAAAAAAATGATCAGCTGCAAGCTTCATTAAATATTCAGAAACAGAATAATATAATCAGGTTAACCGAAATATGAATCTTGATTCACAAAATGGAAGGGAGAAATCACATTGCTACTAAAAGTTGGACATATATTCTTCTAACAAACCAGATCCACAAGAACTACATTGCTCAAAAACAATATTATTTTCTCTGAAAGAAATCGAAAGGTCGGATAATAAGAAGGAAACAAAAATTTCAAGATTTATATATCCAAATGTGAAAGCTTCCATAAAATTAAGCTCGCCTTATACCAGAGCTTAATGACAGAATTCAAGAACCAAACAGGCAGCGCAGCGTCTAAAACATTTTTTTTTAAAAAAAATTGCAATTTAGGTCATCGTATCAGGAAATCAGTTCAACCCATTGAGTATAATGGAACTTACAAACGAGTACCAAATCATATTCGCTGATTCGAAATAGAAAAATTGAGTGTTGTCACGGAAAAAAAGGAATTACCTCACAAAATCGAGCTCAAATAAAACAGAACATCAAAATCAAGAAGCAAATCCCAAGATCTGGGCGACAGTCCAAAATTTAAATCCAGAAGAAATTAAACAAACAAACTCAGCACGCCTAGATGCATACGTTATAGTCTGCATAGAAACGTAGATAAAGATAGACTATAGAATTACCAGAGGCAGTTCAGGCGGGTTCTCAGAGTCGAAGGCGAGTTTGAGAGAGAGAGAGAGGGGTTTGTGTTATTGTTGTTGGACGTCTTGGTTGGTATTCAAGTGTAATTAGTTACCAAAAATAAAATAGTAAAAATAGTGATTAGTAACAACTAATGGCTTCATAGCAAAATCGGTTATTCAAGTATCAACATAACAATGATATAAGGACAACTTCCATTGCTTCTAAGGAAGATCTTCTTCTTGCCATAAATTTTGACCTTAAGATATACTTTTGAATTTCCAATTCAATGACAAACTAACATTTTATTACATTAATATTGTAAATTAAATAATGGTATTACATTTTAAAATTTTGATCATTAATTGATTGCATAAATTAATAATGTAACTTGTTGTAAATTTAAGGTATCATTACCAATTTATTTGTTGAAAAATATTAATATTATAATTGCAATTATTTATGCAAATTTAAGGGCTTGTTTGTTTATGTAATAATTTACTCACTTTTTTTTTTCATCTCAAAATATAACTCAGTTTTAACTCAACTTCACTATCTTTAATATTATTCATATAATTAAATAATACAAGCCAATCATTCTTACACATCACATCAACTTTAATTCACTATTCATCCACTCACATAATTTTAACTACGTATCATTTCCAATCATTTTCAATCATTTATCTTTTACTTTTAAATCAAATCAGTTTTAATTATTTTATTTTAAATATTATTTTAATACATTTTTAAAATTCCACTAACAACTAATCATATCACATTTTTAAAATTAACTATGGTTAACCAAAATAACTCATTTTGAACAAATTATTCCATAAACAATCAAGCTCTTGGTTTTTGTAGTGAAAACGACATCGTCTCGGTCCGACGGCTTTACCTCGAACATGTGAAATTACCTGCAAAACAGTGTCGGAGTTGTCCCGACGTAGAAGCTCCAACGCTAAAGTCAATATATGAGGAAGATGATATGTATAATGTATGTAAAACACAGAATGCTTAGAGTGGGTAGGGTTGAAATGCTTATACCTCACCTCTTTATGTAGGTGTGTTACCTTGTTGCCCAATATCTGTCCAATTTGGCTACCCCAGTGCCCGAGCTATCTGATCATGCTACTCGGGTGCCCCAACTGCCCAATTCTATTAGCCACATGGTCTTATCCACGTGTTATTCTTATCCTAATTATAATCGTACTTATCCATTATCCAAGTATGTTCCCATTAGTCTAGCCCATTAGGTAGTTACTTTAGGTATAATTGTGCTATCAGCTCCATTCCCTTTGAACTTAGTCATTCTGGTCTTCAATTAATAAGCCAACTTCTTAAGTTCTAAAGTTAACATCTTCACTATCATCAGGCTACTCGAGAGTCTTAGCTCGTCCTGCTTAACTGATTCTACCTCGAAGATCATCACCGACCTGATAACTAATAAATTAATATCTTCACTTCTCTTTGTTGTCTGACATGTGGTTGACTGATGCAGCACGTGGTAGACAAAAGGGATATATGCTCTTGAAGAGTTCAAGAAACCAGAGGAATATATAATTTTTATTAATGATGAACTGATGAAACCCTTGATAGGAGTACAATATATATAGGGAAAACCCCAAGTCTCCTATTCCTAGTAGTATTCCTACTAATTATCTTGTTAGGCAAGATAAAGATTTAATTTCCTAATTAAAGCAAACAACTAAAGAAACTAAACAAAAGATAATTAGGAAACAAATAACTAAATAATAAATAATAAATAATAATTAATTAGATGCGAAGACGGTCGTATTTCTCCATAAATGCTAGCGCGGCCTCGTCTTCATCATCCTCCCCCGGTTGGGAAGGATTCGCCCTCAAATCCGATCGGGCCTCGTCTTCCTCCGAGTTGTCTCCAGCAAAAGGCACCAAATGCTTGACGTTAAAAACATCATGTGTGCGAATATGAGAAGGAAGCCGCAGGCGATAGGCATTCGGGTTGATTTTCTCAATCACCTCCACAGGACCGATCTTCCGAGCAGAGAGCTTATTATACTCAGAAGCCGAGAAACGATCCTTCGTAAGCACCGCCCAGACAAAATCACCGACGTCGAACTCCACATGGCGGCGACGAACATCGGCCCGCCGCTTGTACGCGGTGGTGGTAGCCTCCAAACGAGCACGCGCCTGGTCATGTGTTGCCCGCAGGTCCTGAATCAGCTCGGCCGCACATCGATCCTCTGAGCCCGGCGCCGGAAGAAGTACCAGATCCGAGGGCCCGCGGGGAACCGCCACGTACACCACCTGAAAAGGCGCGAATCCCGTGGCCCGGCTGACCGCCGAGTTGTGAGCAAACTCCGCTTGAGGCAGGCGCTGGTCCCAAGTCCGAATATTATCCCCAACTATGCAGCGAAGGAGATTACCCAAAGAACGATTGACCACCTCAGTCTGACCATCTGTTTGGGGGTGATAAGCACTGCTAAAATCGAGCCTGGTGTTCGCCATACGCCACAGGCTCTTCCAGAAGTAACTCAGAAAGTGCGTATCCCGATCAGAAACAATCACCGACGGTTGTCCATGTAGGCGATATATCTCTCGAAAAAACAACTGGGCGACATGCACAACATCCGTCGTGCGCTTGCATGGAATAAAGTGAACCATCTTCGAGAAACGGTCCACCACGATGAATATGGAATCGAAACCACGCTGGGTACGAGGAAGACCCAGGACGAAATCCATACTGATAGAAGTCCATGGTCGGGTCAGAATAGGGAGGGGCCGATATAATCCGGCGTTGCTCGCCACTCCCTTCGACACTTGGCATACACGACAGCGCGCCACAAAATGAGTCACATCACGCCTCAAGCTCGGCCAAAAGTAAGACCGACCCACGAGCTCGACGGTGCGGTCGCGGCCCACGTGGCCCGTGCCATGCAAATCGACGACTAGACGCAGCCGAAGACTCACGTCTAGAATGCACAAAACGCGAACCCTTGAACAAAAAGCCATCTACTAGAGAATAATCATCGAAGGGTCCACGGGTAAGAGACATGATAATGGGCCCAAAGAATGGGTCATCTGCATAAGTGTCCCGAAGTACATCAAAACCGACGACGGAGACCCGCAGATCCGTGAGAAGCATCGTGCGCCTGCTCAAGGCATCCGCCACCCGATTCGATGCCCCCGATCGATGGCGAAGCACAAACGTGAACTGCTGTAGAAAAGCCGTCCACGAAGCATGACAGGTCGATATGTGATCCTGAGAAGCCAAGTGGCGCAACGCCTCATGATCCGAAAAAAGAACGAACTCTCGGTGAAACAGATAGTGTCGCCAATGACGAACGGCACGCACGACTGCATAGAACTCCATATCATACGTGTTTTACCGAGTGCACGGCCCTGTGAGCTTCTCGCTGAAAAACGAAACCGGGCGACCATCCTGGCTAAGGACGGCGCCGATCCCAACCTTCGACGCGTCACACGAAAGCTCGAAGGGGCGGTCAAAGTCGGGCAATGGAAGAACCGGGGCTGACGTTAACCGCGCCTTGATAAGCTCAAAAGCCTCCTCAGCACGAGGCGTCCAAGAAACACCTTCCCCGTCATGCAATCGGTAATAGAGGCCATAATCGAGCTGAAATGATGAATAAAGCGTCTATAGAAAGAGGCTAACCCGTGAAAGCTCCGTGACTCAGTAAAAGACGTAGGCGAAGGCCAATCGCGAATAGCTGCCACCTTCGAATCGTCCACCCGAATGCCATCAGCAGAGATAAGGAATCCCAAGAAAACGACTGAGCTTACCAGAAACACACACTTCTTCGGGGCGGCATAGAAAGACTCCACCCGAAAGATCCCCAAAACAGTCCTGACATGCCCCAAGTGCTCCTCAAGCGTCCGACTAAAGATGAGAATGTCGTCGAAATAAACGACGACACACGTGCCAATCAAATCCCGAAGCGCCTGGTTCATGACGCGCATGAAAGTACTATGGGCGTTAGATAAACCAAAAGGCATGACGAGCCACTCAAAAAGACCCTCACGAATCTTGAAGGCTGTCTTCCACTCATCCCCCGACCGAATACGAATCTGGTGATACCCACTCCGAAGGTCCAACTTGGTGAAGATAGTGGCACTAGAGATGTTAAACGGTCCTTGGCCCGACGGGCCGGCCCGTTTAGCCCGAAAAAAAAAACAGGGTTAGGGCCTTTTTTTAGTAGCCCGTTTAAATCAGGGCTTTTTAGGCCCGGACCGTTTAAACCGAAACCCGATAGGGCTAGCCCGTTTAATTTGTATATTACAACTTTACTATTCTACTTTATATGTAACTATGAGCTGTAGCGGGTTATTATGATTTTGAAAAATAATTATTAACTATTTCGTTATTCTACTTCACACCAAATTATTTAAGTCAATTAGAACGGCTAATGAAAAATACATGAGACAAAGACCTAACATATAAAACATAGTGATAGAATATAAATTCAACAGTTAGATACAATATCGTGAAAATTTCCAAAGCGTACAAAAATAAGTAGTAACAAACATGAAATGTTTTTTTGTAATAGTTCGAACATTTTTTTTTTATTTTGGTAAAAACATGTCACTTAAGAGTTTGTAATGAGTGTTCATACATGAAATGTAGTTGTATATATATAGAGCGGTAAATACTAAATAGCCGTTGAAAACAATCGTGAATTAGCCGTTGTAATTTTTATTTATATGTTTATTTATATATTATTATTATAGCCCGTTTAGCCCGTTTAGCCCGAAGCCTGCTAGGGTTAGGGTTAGGTCCTTTTATTGGTAGCCCATTTAAATCCGGGCTTTTTAGGCCCGGACCGTTTAGCTCGAAACCCGTTAGGGCTAACCCGAAACCGCCAGGGCTAGCCCGTTTAACATCTCTAAGTGGCACCATGAAGTTGGTCGAGCAAGTCGTCTAAACGAGGGATCGGGAAGCGATAGCGCACAGTAATCCGATTAATCGCTCTGCTGTCGACACACATACGCCACGCCCCATCCTTCTTTGGAATGAGAAGGGTGGGGACCGCACAAGGACTCAAGCTTCGACGTACAACCCCGCGCTGCAAAAGCTCCTCCACCTGACGGCGCAACTCCTCGTGCTCAGCGGGACTCATACGATAATGAGGGCGATTGGGTAAGGAAGCCCCGGGCACAAGGTCTATATGATGCTGGATATCCCGCAGAGGCGACAACCCCGTGGGAAGCTCATACGGAAAGACATCGGAAAACTCACCGAGTAGGGGCACAATCGCCGCCGGTGGCTCCCGGTCATGCGTCGAGTCGACGCCCAAGAGGACCAAGACGGTAGGGGCGACGGTCATCTCCGCCGTGAACGCGGCCCGGGACAAAAACAAAATCGGCGATGCCGGTAGTGGCTCGGACGGCGACGCCACAGGCAAGGGACGAGCGGGCCCCGAATGCAACACAATTCGAACTCCTCCAAACAGAAAGCTATACGTGTTGAGGCACCCGTTAAAAGTGACGCCCCGATCAAATTGCCATGGGCGACCCAACAATAAGTGGCAAGCATCCATCGGGACGACATCACACCAAGCCTCATCACGATAACGCGGGCTAATCGAGAAATGCACCAACACCCGCTTATCCACAGTGACCGCACTCCCTTTCTGAATCCACGCAAGTGAATATGGCCGAGGGTGAGCCACAACCCGGAGGTGTAGTTTATCAACCGCCTTCTGCGCAACCACATTCTCGCATGCACCCGAGTCGATGATAAAAGTGCACACGCGATCTCCCACCGTGCATGTGGACTAAAAAATACGATGGCGTTCCAAAGGCTCCGAGACCGTATTCCGAGGCGCCAAACAAGCACGCCGCAGGACAAGAGCTCGGCCCACATCACCCGTATAATGCTCCTCCACAATCTCCGGCTCCTCATCATAAACCGGCGGCCCATCGTACAACCCGCCCGACTCACCATAATCCTCTTCGGCAAACATGGCTCGCGAAGTGGACCCGCGCGGACACGCACTCCTAATATGGCCCCATTCGCCACACCCGAAACACCGCGGCCCCGCCCCGACGCGAGGACCACCCGACGCCGCTCCTGTTAAAGACAGACCCACCGTCCGCGGCGCATCCGTAGCTGACGCTGGCGGCCCGGAGGATGGCCCAGGCCCGACACTCCGACCCGTAGCCGGCGCCCCACGACCAGGCGTCGTGAACCCCAAGGACCGCCTAGACTGTTGCTGCTCGATCATAAGGGCCCGTTGGTGTGCGTCGGAAAGAGAAACCAGGACAAATAAATTCAGTGTGTCCTGGATTGATAAACGCAAACCCCCCACATAACGAGAAAAAATCTTATCTTGGGATTCACGAATATCAACCCGATTGAGCAAACGATAAAACTCCCACGTATAGTCATCAACCGAACGTGGGCCTTGCCGTAAATTCTTGAGTTTCTGAAAGATAGTTCGACGAAAATTAAACGGCAAAAACTCAAGTTCAAGGTGCTTACGAAATTTCGCCCAGGAGGTGATCTTAGGCTTGCCCATGCGATGCCGCGCCGCCTTCAATTGATCGTACCAAGCCGCAGCCCGGTCCCGCAGTCGTGTGGCAATAAAGGCAACTCGGCGAGTGTCTGGAACATCCTTAAAGTCGAGAATAGACTCGACAGCAGCGATCCAGTCAAGGAACTCGAAGGCGTCAAGACCGCCCGTGAATTTAGGAACCTCGACACGAAAAGAGGCCTCCCAGCGGCTCTCATCGCCGCCGCGCCGCGCGGCCCGGCCGCCGTCCTCCTCGTTGAAGATCCCCTCCTCCATGCTGTACTCGCCATCGTTGTCCTCGTACCGGGCCCGACGGTAACCGAAAGGGTTCTCCGCCGTCGGGGTGTCGTTGTCTAGGCCGTGCGACGACCATGGAGACCTCGAGCGTGGCGCGCTCCCCGGTCCCCTTCCGCCACGGCCGCCCGCTCTCCCGTTGTGACCACCCCGGCCTGTGGTGGTTCGGTTCGCCTGATCCCGTGCAAGCAGAGTCTGCATAGCCTGCCTGATTTCCTCGACCCCCTCGGACAGATCCGCAACACGACGATTCATCCCCTCCATCTGGAACCCAAGATCATGCGTACGGCGATCCAGATCTTCGAGGTGATGGTCACGGCGTTCGTTGTCGTTCCTCCTTGGCGGCATCGTATGATCGTTCCGACAGCTGATACCAACTGATGCAGCACGTGGTAGACAAAAGGGATATATGCTCTTGAAGAGTTCAAGAAACCAGAGGAATATATAATTTTTATTAATGATGAATTGATGAAACCCTTGATAGGAGTACAATATATATAGGGAAAACCTCAAGTCTCCTATTCCTAGTAGTATTCCTACTAATTATCTTGTTAGACAAGATAAAGATTTAATTTCCTAATTAAAGCAAACAACTAAAGAAATTAAATAAAAGATAATTAAGAAATAAATAACTAAATAATAAATAATAAATAATAATTAATTAGATGTGAAGACGGTCGTATTTCTCTAGAAATGCTAGTGCAGCCTCGTCTTCATCATTGACTTGGCCTACTTGAACAACTAAAATTGTTCTTAGGTCTTGTGCGGGTATATGGTATCTCATATGAACGAAAAAATTGCTATTAAGCCTACAATTATAATTATTATGCCAGGCCAGGGCAAGGTTGCTCAGTACGCTGTCGTTTAATAAATATCGGTGGAGTATAGACAAACAGAGAACTCGTGAGCAGCAAGTTTTTTCGCTCCCGAGGAAGGCTTCTTTCCCGCTTTCAAGCTCGGCGAACAATGGCTCCCAAATCCGATAGTGCTGAAGGTGAGAGATACTTTACTCTTCGTCGCCATCAAATTCCAGACATTTGATTCTGTATAATTAATCTGTTGATTATTCATTTCTTCTGTTATTTTTACAGCAATCGTGCTCAACTTCTTGAACGAGGTGAGTTTCATCAGTTTCCTTTTGTGTCTTCGTAACACCGATTTGCCTTTTGTTGCTGCTATTTTATGCATTTATCGTCTTCTTAGTTGATTTAGCGCTGTTGCGATTGTTCCCATTTGTTGTGGCGCCGAGTATCTTCTTTTCTCTCATGCTGTTGTAATTGGGAAACTAGTTGAAGCGTGCAAAATTGTTTGTGGAAAAATATGGGTGAAGAAAGGGTTCATAGGTTAGTTGCTGCTGGGAGTGTTAATGGTTTGAAGTGAATCGGTTCGAGTAGTTTCTGGTTTGAAGATGTTTTCTATAATTGTTTGTTGAACAGTTTCTGTATATAATCTGCAGAAATCTAATAAGTGTGTGACTGTTTCTCATTGGAATTTGTGTGCTCTGTGCAGCAAAATAGGCCTTTGAACTCGCAAAATGTAGCAGATTCACTGCAGAAGTTCAACCTTAAAAAGGCTGCCATTCAGAAGGCATTGGATGGCCTTGCAGATGCTGGGAAAATATCGTTCAAGGAGTATGGCAAGCAGAAAATATATCTGGCTAGGCAAGACCAGTTCGAAATTCCAAATAACGACGAGCTCAATCAGATGAAAGGAGAGAATTCCAAACTTCAAGAACAGCTTGATGAGCGGAAAAAAGCCGTTGCTAAGGTGGAAGCAGGTGAATATGCCTCTTATTCATTGATGTCTCTGTATTATCCAGAAGTTTGAGTGTTTTTTGTAAATTGAGATGTTTTGGCCACTTCATTTTGAGGCACTTAAGTTCAAAATAAATTTAAAAAAAAAAAAAAAGTTCTCTACCACCAGCCCTAGAGTTTAGATTCTATCACCTCCAAGGACTCCTGTACACCCTTGAGAAATAATACTTGGAGAGTTGACTGTCAACCCTTGTAGTAAGATGAGACATTGCACGATTAAGGCAACCAGTAGTCTGTGGAATCAAATAAGTTTCTCTGTAATCAACAGACATGACCTCCTGTGGCATTAGATTAAGGGTACTTAAAGTGACTACCTTGAAAGGTTTCACTCAATAATGAAAAATCTGTAACATTCCCTAACTACAAATGTCCACCTACAGGTGTTGCAAACTCCCGTTGAGGTTTACATCACCTAATAAATATCCCTCGATTGGGATCACTAATTTGTATAGTAGACACAAATCGAAAGGGTCATTTGTAATACTAAAAATAGCTTTGACCAGTGGTCATGCTTTTCAATGGCTGTTTTTGAATCACTCATTTAGTTTATCTAAGATATCATTTTCTAAAACCCAACATGGATGTTTCATTGTTTAATATAGACTGTTTGAGCTAACAAATGCAGAGATCAAGGCACTGCAGTCAAACTTGACATTGGAGGAGATACTGAGCAGACAAATCCAATTGGGGAACGAGGTATAATTATGCAGAGTCGAAATTCATGTGTTCTTGACCAGTTCAGTGGCAGGAATATCATTCATCACATAGTAATAATTTCACAGGCTAAACAAATGGAGGAGAAATTGATCAAGTTGAGGCAAGGAGTGACTCTGGTGAGCCCAAAAGAGAGGCAGGCTGTAGAAATGCTGTATACAAGTATGATGAATCAGTGGAGAAAACGTAAGAGGATGTACAAAGATATCTGGGATGCAATCACTGAGAACTCCCCCAAGAATCTTAAAGAATTTAAGGTCTTGTTCAATATTGACTTGATCCCTTTTAGTTTTTCCATTCCATAAACCGTTTTCTGAATTGCTGTTCATTTGAAAGGAGGAACTTGGTGTGGAATACGATGAAGATGTTGGTGTCAGCTTGCAATCCTTTGGTGATTTGGGGCAAAATGGAAACAAGCGACCCAGATGCAATTGACATTTTTATCCAAGATGTCTCAGTTTACTCTGGGCTCGCAAGCTTGTATCTCTTCATTTTAAGGTCATCAATTTTCAGCTGGATTCTAGAAGTATATATATATATATATTTAGTTCAGTATCTTGTGGTTGTGGCTCGAAGGACACTTTATTGTAAATCCCATATTGTGCGAGACTTAAACTTGCAGGACGCTTCGAACCTTAGGTTCCTCCAAAGTAAATGCGTTAATCATATTGTTTTGTATTGATTTGAGTTGTTGATGTTCTTCGAATGGCGTTTTCTTAATGACTGATAGCATTTCTTTGTGACTGGTAGCAGCAGATGTTGCATAGTGGTTTGTTTGCTTTTCGTTGTGTGTCCTTGCTACACTTCAGTGGTCCTAATGATGCTGGGATCCGTTCAATAATTTAATGGACATTAGAAAAACACATGTTTCCCACATGATATTCAATAGGGAGTGAGCCCACACCCCAAATTTTGTCTTTGAGATTCAGTGTCCGATTGTTGGCAAATAAAATTTAGCATTTCAGACCCTTACAATAATGGAAGAAGAAGAAGAAGTGTCCATACTCTTGTGGGAGATAAACTCGAAATGGTAGAATTAGTTAAAAACGACTTCGAGTATAAATATTTTGAATAACCCCACATTCGTTGAAAGGGGTCCGTGGGTGAAAAGCTCGAAATGGTAAAATGGGTTAAAAACGACTCAAATTATTTTCAAAATATAACCAACCCACAATTGAGTTGCACTACCCCTCGAATATAAACATTTTAAATACCCTACATTTGTTGAAAGGATTATTTGAATATGACGTACACAGACACAACTGTCTCTTGTTTTTCCTCACGACATTAGATTTTTGTTCGTGACATCGAAACTGAGGATTCGATAGCGCACCGCGGATATCAAGGATAAACTCTCTGAAGTTCCCCGTTCTAATTTCAAAGTTCATGTTTTTAGCCTTTTAGGTACCTGCAGTTGTATAAGGACCGTCAGTTTGTAATGTTTAACCTTCAAGGCAAATTATCCTGACGATAATTCATCTAGCGTTGCACAACCAAAAAATAAGGAACAAAGCATCTTCACACCTATTCTGCCTTCCACTGCACTAGTTCAGACTTGCGTTAAAACCTACTAAGATTTTTTCTTGTTCTTTTCCAAATTCTTTTCATCAAAGCTTGATGACACAAATATAATCTTAATAGGGAACAACTTTTAGTAGTTTGGGTCTAATCTTACAAATTTAAGGTGTACAATTGATGATTGTCATTAATTTACATTTAAACAGTGATGTAAATTATTAAGAATTACTTAAAATTTAATAATAACTTTTACTATCTTTTGAGTATAGATATATAATATTTTACTAGTGCCATGTTATAAACGAGGGTTGTGTTCTGTTGGTTTGTAATATATCCAACGGCATCCGTGTTCATCTTGCATTTAAATAAGTCTTATATCACATTATAAATATAAACAATGTATTTAGGCATGGACAAATTTAGTATAGGCCTGAGTTGGGCTGAAGCCGTCTCCAATGAGTCAGGACAAAGGTGGCTGAAGATCTATTCGATCTGACGAAACAGACATTCTCAGTCGCCCTCATCTGAAAGGGAAGAAAAAGCCGATAGAGAAAACACAGATAACAACGATGAAAGTACTTTTACGATTTATTCTACTTATTATTTTCTTAACAGAGATAATTAATGTGGATTTTGATGGATCACAGATTTGAAGAGGTTAAAAGCTGGGCATGGTAAAGTTGAGAATGACTCTATTCAAGTTGAAAATGAGTAAGCCATAAAATAGGTAAATAAAGCAGCTGAAGAATTGGTAGTGCAAATGTGTCAGTGGAAAGAGGAAAAGTGAGGTCTCTGGAGGAGAGATAGTTCGCATTGTTTGTTATCAGTATCTGACAACGATAAAAGCGTGAGCATCTTATTTTTCTTTGTATTTTTTCTCCTCTCATTTTTTTTCAATGTTCTCTAAATTCTGTAAATATCTTATTTTTCTTTGTTTTTTTCTCCTCTCATTTTTTTTCAATGTTCTCTAAATTCTGTAAATTCTGAATTTGATTATTTGTAACTAATGCAGCATTATTTATTTTGTTTCATCTCTATATCTATCTTAAATAAAGCTAATTTTATTTAAGGTGGTGGGATCATGGATTTATGAGACGTGGTCGAGGATGGGGCTAAGAAGAGCTCCATGATAGAGATTGGTTTGATGGTGAGTACACATTACAAATGTTTCTTCCGCTTAGCGTTTATGATTAATTGTTACTTTCTTTAAGTGAAAATTCTAAGAAATAAATGCGCTTTCTGCAGACCCTTCCATCTCTACCTTCATCCCCTGAGAGACCCACTTCTGCCCACTTTTTTTGGGCCTCCCAGCAAATATTTAGTGTTTGCCGACTTTTTTCGAGCCTTACAGTTCATATTTAATGTTTCTCTTCTTTTTTTTTTGTGCAAAATAATGCTTTACTTTTTCCTTGTCTGTGCGGTGGTTGTGGGCCCTTGTGTTTTATGACAGCCACTACGGCGATGTGTGGAGGGATTTCTCCGGAAAATCTGTTGTGGCATACTTGCGAATGGACTTGCATGGTTGTGTGGTGGATGGGTTTTTCGTGGATTGCGGTGCATTTCGCCTTAATTGTAACTGTGGGTTAGTGTTTTCCTGTAGACTTTTCATTTTTATTTCTATTTCAGTTTTTCTGCAGCATTCTGTGTTTATTCGTACTTGGTCTGCATTTTTTGTGTTTTTTCATTTTCATGGCGTGCCATCTGTAATATTATGTGTGTGTTTGTGTTGGAATCTGGTGTTTGTTTACATTTTGGCTTAATTTTGGGTCGAATTTCGGTTTCTATACCTTCTGTGGTGACATGTTTTGGTCTTCCTCTTAATTTCCTTTTTAGACAAGTGATAATGCATGATGCATTGTGCAGATAGATTATTTGTGTATGTGGTCCCTTTTTTGCTGTTGCATTAGGATTTTGTACGATTTTTATTTTATTTGGATGTGGACTAAATAAGCGCTTGTTCTCTAAAAAACATTGTTTTGCCCGAGTTGTGTGTGGTAGGAGAAAAAAGTACCTGCTATGGCTCGCTTTTATTGTCACATAAAATGGCCCCCTTTTTGGTTCATTTTATTATTAATTGGTTCTTTTCTTTTTCCATATAGTCTCAGCATTGTTGTGTTTGCTGTAAGGCGGTGATACATATGGTGGAAGTCCGTGTTTGATGGATGCAGTCTCTTGTTGCCCCTAAAAAGCTGCTGCGGGAAGCTGCTTTGGCCAGACGATGCTTTAAAAGACAGAGGGTTTGATCGCAGCTTGGCTTTGAAGTTCGTGCATCGTCAGCTACCTCTCAGGTATACGAGGGGTGTGTACGTGACTTGTCGTTGCCTGATGGTGTCTATTTATTGCAGACGGATTTTGTGGGTGGTTGTACTACCGTGTCGGATTCATGCTATAGCGTTATATGACCAGACTAACAACGGTTGTGTATCTTTATATTCATCTTGCAATATTTTAAATGCTCATGTGAATAATAGGAAAGATGCACGTTTTTTACATCCAAACTTACCAATTTAAACAAGCGCTTGGATGGAATGGTGAATAGAACTCCAATTCTGAACATGAAAAAAAAAAAGGTGTGAGTTAAAAAAATAAATAAATAGAGGCTTCATAGTACCAACATGTAATAAGGAATTCAAAATTGTAACCAAGCGTTGCCCATTTGTTCACTCTCACTTTTGCGGGCCATTCTTACATGGGGGTTAATGGAAGTCCATGTTGTTGATCACCGAACTCACCTTCCTGTCGCGAAGCGGCGGACAAGCACAATGACACAACGCGAGAGGCCAGACTCGGCAAATAGTGCAAGACGGCAATGCCCTAAACCAATTCGGATATTATTGCAGACAACCGCTTCAGCAGCCATCGGGCGCATTTATTACTGATGGGATGCCTAACCATGCAGTAGTCGGGGACATGTGTTGGCTCAACCATAAACAGATTAACTCTGAGATTCGTAGTTAATCATTATACATTAAATGAAAGAATAATTACCAGATTTGGTATGGATCTTGTACTACACCTAGTGGTAGTACACACACATGAAAAGTAGGCAGATAGAGAATAGAGCTACGCCGGCGGACTCGGGCCTGTGGTCGTCTTCAATTGCTCGACCCATCCCAGATGCCATTTTGTCTCTGGCGCTTCCAACGGCAGATGATTTGTCGCGTCCTCTCACCCCCGACTTCGCCTTTTTTGGCGAGGTTTTGTGGGCTTGTCGCCGAATCTCAGGTCGTGGGGGTGTCGGGAGGGATGTGGGTCTGTGGATGGGTCGGGGCACCTAGCAGCTGCGATGAATCTCGTTGCGGCAGTCAGTGCGAGGACTTGCCTCTTCACCTCAGAATCCTTTACTGAGATCGATTTCAGTTTTCCTGAGCCGACTTTGAGGTATTTTCCGTCTATTGGTTGTGTTGGTTGACGATTGAGGTTGCTTGACTTCTTTTGGTAGGCTTCGGTTTGCCGTCAGTTCGAGCTCTGGTCGCCTATGGGTTGTGGTTGTCATGGGCGGGGTCATGTTGCTCTGGGCGGGGCATTGCTCTAGGTACTGAGGTTCTTCAAGGTCGGGGAGGCTGGTGTTGAGGAGTCGGGACACCTCCACCCTTCTCCGTTCGGCTAGTGGTGTTAGGTGGCGGGAGAGTGTTTCCTCTCAAGCTCGACTAGTGGTGTTAGTCGGGCTTGGTTGGGACTGGTGTGCGGGCTGGTTCCTTTTTGTTCCTCCGGTTAGCATCGGGTCATTTTTTTGGAGATTAGTTCGTGTTCGGGTTCGACTTTTGTATAGGCCTTATGGCAGTTTCGAAGTGGCTCCTTGGACTTGGTTTCTTCTTCGTCAACAACTGTTCTCCGCTGGCTTGGTCTGCTTGTTTTGCTGTGCAAGGGATCATTTTTCTCTTTGTTTTATTTGTTTTGAGTCTTTGTTAGGTTGT